CTCTTTGGCCGCCCATGCTAGCTGTTCCTCCTCACTCGCCGACTGCTGGGACTGGTTCAGGAAACTGTTGTTGAAGGGACTGGAAGTCTTGCTGGTGGGCGCAAGATTATTCGAGCCCCATCCACCCTCATTGCGGCTGAGGCCAAAGTTTTCGTTCAACAAGTCCTCGTTACTTTTCCACTTGCTCTTCTCTGCATTTGATACCTTAGATGACGAGAATGGGTCAAAGTCAAAGTCTGCAAGCCGTCGCTCACCGAGAGACGTCTTGGACCGCACTGGTATGGTTTCCTTCACTTGGGAAGCAAAGGGATCCCCAATGACTGACTTTGATCGCGTGTTCTGGCTCGTTTCAAGTTTGTCTTTGTTGTTATCAAAGTTTGCGTTAAACTGATCTACACTGAAAAACTCTGTGGATAAATTGGCATTTGTATCATCCTCACTCATACTAAAACCAAAAGGATCTGTCTTGGGAGCATTATCAAGTGGCATCTTGACAGCACTCTCACTGGACTCCTCTGGCATTGTGTTGAAGGGGTCAGGCTCATCTTCCCAGGAAAATTTGTCTGCATCCTTGAAGCCCTGATCCTTGAAGGGGTCATAATCACCACCAAAGGGATCAGCTGCTCCAGAAGCTTTGGAGAATGGATCGTCATCAGCAAACACCGAATTGTCTCCAAACCCCTCGTCTGACCCAAAGCCTGATGAGCCAAAGGCATCCTGCGGCCAGGGGGAGTTGTCGGTGCTTCTGATATTGGCCTTCGTTGCCGTGAAGGGAGAACCGAAGGGGTCCTCATCTGTCGATGGTGGGTACTTGGCGTCTGACGTAAACTTGTCCTCATCCCCCCAGGGTGATGTTGCTGCTGGGTTGCTGGCGACGACTACCTTGGAACACTAGTGAGAAGGGGAGGAGTTGTAGATCAGTGCTGCAAAGGTAAAGAGAGAGGGGGAGAAGCCCTGGTTACTGCCTGCAAACGCCGCGGGTCTGCTCTACGACTGTAAGGAAAAAATAAAACATAACAGGCATTCTAGACAGTAAGAAAAGAGAGGTGCATCGGACACGGTGGAGGGGGAAAAGATAAAAGACACATACATTACCAAATGAGTGAACAAAATAAACTTGGAATGTGATGCCAGGCTCACCCAACAAGTGACCGTCAGCGTACACCAACATGCTACAAACTGAAAATAATAATACTAGGGTAAAAATAAAGAAATCAGACAAAATAAAAGAGGAGATACCAAGGATTTCACAATCAACATTTTCTTTCTGAAAAACACTCATGCATTACACTATTGTAACATTAGAAGGTGCAAATTGAAAATGGGTTACTGACCCTCTAACAGAAGTATAACTATAAATTTGTGGACTGCCTTTAGTTAATTTTCAAATAAAAAGTTAAGCCCTGAATTACTATTTGATCCACACTGAATCTTGCACAGTAGTACAAGGCCAAAATCTCAAAAATAGCTCTGATGGCTGAGAGAGTTCAACTCCGTGTTAAATTGAAAGAACAAAAGGTTGGAAAATGTTGCAATTTTGGGTCAATTCTGTGTTATCTGAAGTAATTTCAAACATCTAAATGCTGACATTACATTCTTTTACATCTGTAAGAGGTATTTCTATGTTCTCTGTCTTTGTCCATTATGATTCCAGTAAATCCAAAAAATTCCTAAAATTTTAATGTCTAATGCTTATGTACAAAGATGAATTATAAAATAGTACTCTCAATGCATAGAGGGACTAATGCAACCCAACACCACTAAATACATTTGAAATTTTTCAAATTTACTACTTAATCAAAAGACTATGGTATCTTCTCTTTTTTACATGCTAACTAAGCAGTAAACATACTGGGAAATAATTGTAGAAATACATTTTCAGAGGCCAAACACATCCATTAAAGTTTTCTTAAATGATTATACTTGTTTTCCTTTAACTGACTACAGTATGTACAATACTTATGAGTATATATGTGTGTATTCTTAAACAAGTCTAAGAAAACCACACATATACATTAATGTGAAAGCATTTCTTGGTGCAAACTTCAAAGCTCCGTAATCATATGTTCAATTGCAAGTGTCATGGCAACTTCTTGCACCAAAGAACATTTCAAAGGGAATGACACAAATATGTAAGTCCAGTTGGAGTTTAGGATGATATTGCAAGGCATACTGAAATCGATCCAGATTCATATTTTGAAATCAGTAGCATCTAGCCAACTTTTTTGAAGGTGCTGTTAAGAACAAGGTTCGGACAACTAGCATTACATTTCTAGGTTCTCTTGGAGGGGAAATTTTTCATACGGATTTGTGGGAATTAACATGGTATCACATTATAGCATAGACACCTTTCATATCATGAAAAATCAAAATATAGGAAATATCAAAATTATATTATTAATAATACCTTCAAACACATTTAATGGTGAAAAAAAATCACTATATATATATACATATATACATATACACATTATACATATATATATATATATATATATATATATATATATATATATATATATATATATATATATATATATATATATATATATATATATATATATGTGTGTGTGTGTGTGTATATGTATATATGTATACTCAAAACTGTTAGGGAACAGCTGAGGAGAACTTTTGAGAATAATTAGACCTTAGTGGAAAGTGGCATCCCCAAAACAAAACTTTGATATAAAAATAAACCAAAACACTAACACTGATGAAAAAAAAAATAAAGTCATGTCTCATCTACATAGTGTGCAACAATTACTACAACTGGAATGCAAAGGCATGCAACATTTCCTCTAAGGAATTATCATTTCAAAAATCATAAAAACAAAATGTAAGTTCTCGAATTCCAAACCATCTTTACAGTTTCTTAGATTTTTTTTTTAATTATTCAAACACTCATAATTCAGCTTTCTTTCAAATATTAAGAAGTCATAAATAAGTTATTTCTCTTAATTCTACAAAAATAAAAGTAATTCATCACTACTGAACTCATACAAAACTGCTATTTGCAAATGTCAAACAATATGCTGAGGCTGACAAAATGTTATTACTGAATTAGTTTATTATGTTTACTTAATCAAGGTGGTTAATATGGAGATTCAATTGACTTTATAAGTAAAATAATTAGACTAAAAAAAAAAAAAAAAAATTCAAGACTACACAATTGTCTCTACCTCAAGCAATATCACTAATAAACACAAACCAAATAAATACACAAAGAATTTCTCTTTTCAATATGCATAAATATACACACAAAGTAAAGATTCAAAATGCCAAAACAAACAAGTAAAGAAAATCCAGAACAACAAATAAAAAAACTACTACTCAGGATGCGAAAATGGGACTCACCTTGGTATCAAAATCGGCAAAGTTCGCAAAGTCGGCAAAGCCCCCATTGTTGGTGGCGTTGGCGGGGGTCTTGTTATCCCCCCAGCCTCCGGCAAAGGGGTCCACGTTGCCTGTGTTCGAGTTGGCGTTGTTGGCTGCGTTGGGGTTGTTGGGGGTGGTGTTGGTGGTGGGGTTGTTGTTGGAGTTGATCTGGGGTGGAGGGGGCTTGGCCGGCCGGGTCTTGGGGGGAGCTGGTCTGGGGGGAGGCTGCTTGGCCTTCTTGGGGGGGAGTGCTGGGGTCGGGCTCTCGGGTCTCGGTGGGGGACCACCTCCTCCACCCGCACTGAAGGGCTCGTTGCCAAAGGGGTCCTTGGCAGCCTAGTAATGATAATGATGATAATAATAACAAGAGTAATAGTAACAGTAATAGTAATAGTATCAGAAACAGTAATAGGAATAGTAATAGTAACAGTAAGAGTCTTAGTAATGGTAATAGTAACAGTATAATAATAATAATAATAATAATAATAATAAAAAGGGAGGAGAGGGAGAGGGAGAGGGAGAGGGAGAGGGAGAGGGAGGAGGGAGGAGGGAGGAAAGAGGAGAGAGGAAAGAGGAGAGAGGAGAGAGGAGAGAGGAGAGAGGAGAGAGGAGGGAGGAGGGAGGAGGGAGGAGGGAGGAGGGAGGAGGAAAGAAAGGGAGAAGGGATAGGGGGAAGAGAGGGAAAGGACAATGAAAGAGTCAAAGTTAAATATCAAGGAAAAAAACAAGCAAAAAGAAAGAAATTGTTAAAAAATAATCAATCAATAATAACAAAAATCATAGAAAAAATTAAAAAGAATTCAATTCCCTCCCCACCGAAACCCCACAGCAACTCGAGCTGGTGTCGGCATCTCACCTTTGTCTGAGCTGAGAATGCATCTCCTCCAAATGGGTCTCCAGCGGGTGGTGGGTTGTTGGCCGGCTGAGATGGATTGTGATCCCATGATGCAAACACATCCACCTGGAAGAAACAGGATTGCCATTGCATAAATGTGAGGATAAAAACAATACCTAATGTTAATAGTCATATCAAGCAAGTAGGCAGATATTAACACAAAATTAGTAACTTGTGTGTATCATGAAAACCTTAACATTAGATGTAACAAATATAAAACCATTTATGAATAAATAACATTCAGTAGTGCACACACACAATAAATACAAATTGTGGCTATAACATACACCAATAACTAGTAGCACCTTAATTATGTGAAAACATCAACATTATTCAAAACAACCTTTACAATACTCATAACCAGGGAAAAAAAAAGAGACAGGACAAGTCCATCTCCACAGTTACTTAATTAAAATAACATCTGCCTTTTTATTTTTTTAAGCCCAAACAATAAAAACTGGCACATAACGTCCAGCCCACTTACATTGTTTTGCTGGCCACCAAAAGCTGCCGCAAATGGATCGTGCCCTCCAGAAAACGAGGTATCTTTGGCTTTCAATGCATCTTTATCTGGAAATGCGGAGAGAAAGGGAAAAAGGAAAAAAATAAAGTAAATAAATGAAAAGAATAGAATATAGAAGGGCAGGCTGGCTGAACCTAGAGCAATAAATCTA